TGTATTAGTAAATTTACTATTATTAAAATCGTCAAAATGTCACCGTCGGCATTTTTTCCTAAACAAATGTCACCGTCTGCATTTTTTCCTAAAAATCGTGACTTTTAACCAATGAAATTGTCTACAAAATGTAGATCATCCATAATTAGCCAATCGGAGATCTTTATTCTGATACCCAATTGACGAAATGTAACCCTCTAAGGAGAAAATTATAGGGGTATCTAAATATGGTAATAATTTTAACTATAATGATTACGTAACACTGTGCGTAATCATTATAGTTAAAATTATTAAACTTATAAAAAACGTATGAAAAAAAAAACAAAAAGAAATAGACACAACAATAAAATTTAATCTAACTAAAACAAATAAAACTAAAAACAAAGACAAAGAAAAACAAAATAAAATAAAAGAAAAGAAGACAAGGGTAGTATTATTAAGCCTATGCCAGACTGTAAAAATTTTATATAGTGCTACTAAAAACTAGTCTAAACTCTATACTAGTTATTTATATCTATATTAGAATATATATAATATCTATTCTTGAATAGAAATTCAAGTTCAAAATTTCTCTTGCGGTCCTAACGAGTCTTCATCCAGCATTCTGCAATGAGCGATCATTTGTTTTTGTTTCTGAGCAAAGTTAACATGCTAGAGCACACAGTGTAAATACTGCAACCTCTTGAGATAACATGATCAAATATTATTCATCCCAAAGTATACACATACACATGTATGTGTATTTCTTTTTTTGGTAGCAATTGTTGTTGTTGATCTTTTGATGGGTACACTGTATTTCTCATTTTTTGGTAAAATTTCATAAAGAACAAAAAGTGGGGTGTTAAAAGGAGTTTCAGTTAGCAGGTAGCTTTAAACTTCGATAGGAAGAGTGTTAAAAACTCGCTTGTTGTTTTTCTAGACAACTATACTTTTACTTTATCAGCAGAAGCTATGCTTCTATTAAAATTTTTTGCACAAAGATACTACCTCTTGCCAGTTATCTTGTGCAAGAATGCTTTTAACTTGCTTGCTAAATATACAAAGGAGTCTGAGAAGAAAAAAAGAATACAAGAATTCTTGATCTTTGTAAAAACTGTTATTTGTATAGTTATCTCTTCTACTTTGCTTCAACAAGTTTTTGTTTTTGTTAGTTGTAAGTTTGGTATGAGTGATCGTTTGGGAGAGTGTAACAATTTTTGTTTACTTTCTAACTAGAATTGTTTAGAGTATAACTTTATATATAATTATTGGTTTAAAACTATTAAATTTTTTTAACAAAGTTATATTTTCAAATTATATTAAAATTACAAAATTTTAGTTTGGCTTAAATACATTTTATTTTTTTGATTTATTATTTGTAAAATTTAATTTAATTAGTGATTCGCCAGTTACCTGATACATGATCATAGTATAATATAATGCAAATCACTATGTAAATCACATATACTTGAATGTAGCATTCATCCAAGAAAAACTTTTTTTGTACTAAGTTAATTGCTTTTCTGTATTAAATCAAAATTGTAGAGCTTGTTGAATAGCTTTTTTATAATATTCAAAAAGATTTACTTGTAATAGATTTAATCGTCTATTTCGACTATTTTGTAAAATTGTTTTTTGTTGATATATTAAATCCGAATCTTTTATCAACTTGTCAAACTTATTATTTTCAATTAAATCAGAAATCCTTTCTTCTCTTTCAATTTCATTAAATATTTTTTCATATAACTTCTGTTTTCTAAGATTATGTAATTCATTTTTATCATC